ATCACGGCGGCGAGGAGCGGATCGAGCTGCATGGCGGGAGCGGTCATCCACGAGGTGACACTTCGAGTATGCACGCGACAGCTCCGATGGGGCCTTCCACAGCAGTCCCAGAATCGCAACAGGGTCCAGCACCGTTGATGCGTCATCCCGAGGTTCAGGGAGAGATCAGTCCTCACCCGGCAGTGCAGGACGAGGGTTCTGTCAAGGCACTGCATCCACTCACGTCTGCCGGAGCGGCAGTCTCAGTTGCAGCGACCTCGGATGTGGGACAACCACTGGCAGCGGCGGAGCAAGAAAGTATGCTCCCACCTCGCAGTGTTCAACCGCGGCCACCGCCTGCATTGATGGAGGGGAGTCAGGGGACCGTTGTTGTGTGTCAAGGCGACGATCTCCCGGAACGTGATATCTCACACACTCCCGCAGCCGAGCAGAGCGCCGCAGACCTTGTCGGCCTCGCATGCCCCACCGGCAATCTTCCGGGTACCGGCGAGTTACTGACCACAGACTCTGCACTCGTTTCTCTACCGGACTTGTCGACGTTGATATCCCTAGGTCTACCCCATGTGTCACCGCCCAAGCCACAACAGCCTGTTGTCATTGAGCGTGGATCGGACGGGTTTGACGTSGCAGGAGGCGATATTGCCGATATGATTACGAGCCCAATGGTGTCTGCCACGCCCACAATTTTTCGTGTTGGCAAACTACGCGAGGTGGCCCTTGGTTTGGCGGAGACGGCGACGCGACACCGTCGCGACAGTCAGCGCAGCATCGCACAACGCAGTCTTTCTCATTCGTTTGACGCCGCAGAGGAAGGGTCTCATGGTGGGCCATTTGACACACTCGAAAGAGAAGCAAGACCCCCAAGTCCGCTGTCAAACTTAGAGCATCATCCGATTGCCGCGGCTGTCGGCGCAGATGCGGGCGTCCCCGTCACAAACAGTGGCGCAGACGCGACAGAACAGCTTGTGGTTGGGTCATCGGCGACAGCACGGCGCRACAGAGCCACTGTTTTGCCGACAGTGGCATTTTATGCCAGCGGGAAGAGTACTGGGGGGATGGATGAGCAGGGAGTCCGGAATGTTGGTAGGCCATCTGCACCGTCTATGGGGAAACKATCCATTGGGAGTGTGGATGGTGCTCGGCACACCGCCATGGCCGAGTTTGAGGACCRACACGGGAGTGCTTTGCCGACRAAGACGTCTGATGTCCATGCTACGAGAGCCGCAAAGGCGAGTCTTTCTCGGGCAAGGAAGAAGGCCTCGGCAAGGAAGGCGTCACGTTCATCCTCACATATGCGTTCCCTAGAGAGAGGATCGGGCGTTGTGCATCTCGAGGACGGAGAGATTGCACCTGACGGCGACGCATTGGATGTTGGAGGGAGGGATGCAACGACG